GCTCCAGCCGACAGTTCCTGTTCCTCTGTTGTCTCTGCAGCTCCCGCCTCATCCCTTGGGTCCCCATCTACTCCTGCGACTCCCCTGGGGCTTGGATGGTCTTTGGGCCTCCCCACTGAACTGAACTTTGTGTTTTGTCTTTGAGTCCCTCTTGTGGTGTGTTTTCCTCAGTCCTGTACCTCTCTCCTTCGACAGCTGGAGCTGTTGTTGAGGGGGAGGTACTGTCATGGTCTGTGTTTAATTTTCCTTGGTTTTTCTAATGTTTCTTTGTTTCTGTGTTTCTCTGCCCTCCAGCCCCGCCCACGCTCACCATTTTCCTCTTGTGTCTCCTCCAGGTGTTTCTCATGTCTCTCATTAGTTTACTTTATATTCTGTGTCCTGTCCTCAGTGTTTGTCTGATCATTGTGCTGCTAACACAGCCAGTGGTGTTTCCTAYGATCCTCACATTCTTTATGTTCCTATGGTAAAGAATTTTTGTGAGTATTTTTGAAGCTGCTTTGCTTTTTTTTAATAAAGCCTTTTTTTGCACTTTGAATTTTTGCCCGTGCCCTGGGTTGATCTCTGCGCATACGCCTCACAGTATTTAACATTTCAGGCATAAGAGGTGTGACCAGGACATGTTTAGTCTCAGAGACACAGACTCAGGCTCTGAGTCTTTAATCTTAAAATAAGCATTTAACTGAGAACTTATTGATTTTCTATGTATTAGTCAGGCATCCAATTTTAAAAGTTTTCTTACACACTTACACATACTGTGTACTGAATGTATTTTTTCACATCATTAAAGCATAAACACGTTTGTTCTCTCCTCCACATGGCTGGTTCCACTTCACCTGAAGCTCAAGTGAGCTCTTCTGGACTGAGACCTGTGAGGTTGTTCCTGGGATCTGTTAGAGCCACTTTTCCAGTTTGGGGGTCTCAGCACTAAGTGCTCTAATAACCACTGAGACTACTGACACCATGACTTTCCACAACTTATTTATTTCCTCTTCCAGCTTCTTCTTCCTGGTGTTTCTTATCTCTACATCTGTCCACCACCTCCTTTTTCTCTTGTTTTTCCACCACACTGTCCAGTTGTCACCACCTGTTTGTCTGTCTGGATTTGTAAGTCCCTCAGGCCTTAGCCCTGCTGTTCTCCAACATTCTTGGTGGAGTGTCCCACTTTGACTCTGGGACATCCAGTCCATCCTTCAGCACAGATGTTCCTGTATATTACTCCAGCCACTGGGTTTTGGTGCTCCATCGTTGTTCAGTCTACATCCTGGGTCCTGTCTGGTTTGGTAGACCCTGATCTTGTTCTTGTGCTACCATGATTAGTTACCTCCACCAAAGGGGGAGGTTATGTTTTCGGTCGCGTATGTCTGTCTGTCGTTCTGTCTGTCTGGCTGTGGACAAAATTACTCAAAAAAGTGTGGACGAATTGTCATGGCATTTTTACCACATGTGGGTATTGGCCAAACATTAAATTCTGGTGATGTTCMGGATCACAATGCGAATACAGGAATTTTTCTTTTAATTTAACCGAATCAGCCAGGCTACGCAAAGTGTCATTACGTCAGACGCATGCCTGTAGGAAACAGGAAGCAGAAGTCGCAAAGTCACTGGGACTACATCTCCCAGGATGCCTACTATCGGCAAAGTTGTGATTATTCTATTATCAACTAGTATTGGTGATGTTACATGCTGTCTGGAGACAAAGAAAAAGAAATGTGATTCTCTTCACGTTAACGGGAATAACTGAGAAGACGCTGACAGCGAGGGAGGGTCCAGCTGTAGCCGAGCCAAAGCTGGACCGATACCAGACAGCGGGAACAGCTGATCAACCATGTCAGGTACCCCCTCCACATAAGAACCTTATTGTGTGATTTGTCAGAAGTTCATGGGARTGTTTCTTTGTGCTAAAAGTGCTCAGATGCTGAGCCGATTGGACCAGGAAGTAGCACTTTATAAAGATAGTCAAACCATTAAAAACTCATTAAAGGGGATAAAACAGACGTTTTACATGGTGGAATGTGACTGATGAAAACTTAGGAGCTTCATCCAGGACCAGTTTGTGGATGAATAAYGTTGGGTGACGAGTCTCTGACTTTATTTTATTTTTTCCATTGAACTCCACCGGAATGAAATCTCATGCATACTGCCAGCTTAAACTAGTTTGACTAAGGCTGCGCTTTTTTGCGCAGGAGACCTTGGCCTCTACATCCCCAGCTCCCCTGCTGTGAGCCACAGTGTCTATTAAATGTYCTCTATGTCAGAACTTATTCTGCAAATGTGTTTTCATCTCTCCTTTGGTGGAGGTTTGCATTCTAAGAGTGCTTCTAGTTTCCTCTGTTCTTCAGGCCAGTCCTCTCTGGTAGGATTTGTTGATACCTCAATCTGTTGGTGGTACTTAATGTGTAAGGTTTGTCTTYATATTATGGTTCCTCTTGTTTCTCCTCTTGTACGTTACGTTTCTGCAGCCTCAGACATTGAGGCTTTCCTCCTGATGTGCTCCAGGATCTTGGTGGTTTCATCCTGTAAAGTGGCTCAGATGCTCACAGGTTCAGTGTTGGTGTCCTGAACTTATGGTAAAACCCAAGACAAATTTCCTTTGGGACAAAAAAGCTTATCTTATCTTATCTTATCTTATCTTATCTTATCTTATCTTATCTTATCTTATCTTGTCTTATCTTCACTCTGACCATTTCATATTAGGTCAACTTAAACTTTTTAAAGACACAAAAACATCATGAGTTTATTTTTTTACAAGTTCAAGAATTTCATTTTAATATCTGTAATTTGTTAAAAGAAATAAAATAGCTTTGGTTTCAGTTCTGAATAAGAATGGTATTGTGACCTTTAGAAATGCTGTTATTAGGTTAATTTTTTGCTCAACAATCAGTTTCTCTGTGGGCCCGATGAAAGAATCTCTGTACCTGGAGCTGGATTTTGACAGCTCTAACAGGAGACATGACATGTTCAGGTCTAAAACACATCCATGGAGGTTTAAATGTTGTGATTAAAGATTTCTAAAGTTCAGGTTCAGCTGAGGGGTCCTGAAATGGGTGTGTTTGTGTGTTACCTGGAACAACGCTACCACCAGGTCAGCCACACACAGGTTGAGCATGAACTGGTGCAGAGGACTGTGGATGTGTCTCTGCTTCAGCAGCACCACCAACACTAACCCGTTCCCCAGTAACGTCAGCAGGAGGACCACTGCCAGCACCAACACCTCTGCCACAGCCAGCAGGGCGTCTCGCTCCCACTCTGTCATGTTTGTGCCCGTCGGGGTCTCAGAAACTGTGGACCGGTCCGTGGTCTGGTAGGTCTCTGTTATCATGAAGACGGGCATATTGGCTGAGAGAGCAAAGAAAGAAACATGAAACAGAAACGCTGCAGGCATCTGTAAAACTAACTTCTAAACTATAAAAATAAACATGCTACCATGTTCTGTACTGAATAATTTATTGCATTTAAATGCAAAATCTGTCTGTGAACTGTTTGGAAAACTCATTAAAAACAGGACACCACCCATCAGTTCAAAGGGTTTCAAATCTAATCTCGAGAAAACAAAACACACAACAGATCTCTCTCTGTCATTATCATCACCCCCACTATGTGAAGCTGTATTGTTTTGTTTTAGGGTTTTTTCAGAGCTATTTGGTCAACCATAGCACAGAAATGTCTGCACCTAGCTGCATGAAATTTGGTATTAATATAGATGTAGCCGACCATACACTGAGCTATCAAACAGTTTTGGGATAGACAATATATTTCAGGTGGAGGCGCTATTTGAAAAGCTGCTGTCTGGACATACAAAAATGCTTTTAGCTCAAAAACTGTTCAACATAGGATTTTTAGCTCTAATGAAAGGCTATCATCTCATGGCATCATTATGTATTTCTATACAACTCCCAGAAGTAGGCAAAAGACACGACTGAAAATTATTTTTTCAAGCCTGTATATAAACATGATCAGATCTTGATTAAATTTGACACAAATGTCCTTTCTGACCAACACTGAAGAGTCCAACAGCCCCAACAAGCATGTTCATTAACTCCACCCAAAACAGCTTCTACTCAAAAAGTCCTCTACCAAAAACAGTCTCTGTAGATTATTTTTGTAATGCATCTACAGAACAATTTCCTGGCGACATCAGTACATATATGACATCATGCATGTGAATGTGTTTTGTTTCATTATCACTCTACTCAAATAGACTACAAGAACAGGGGCCTCATGTATAAAGACTTCCATGAATTTCTTACTGAAATGTGGCGTTTGGTCTAATCCAGAAAACGGCGTACGCATAAAAAATCCAAATGTATCAAACTGTGTGTACGCCTGAATCCACACACATTTCTTTGGTACATCACAATTAACGTGGAACTGAGT